GATGGTGGCTTCGAACGACGTTGATGGGACGCGCTTGCCAGGGGCCGAGAATTATGCGACGCGGCGATCTATGGTGCACGGACGGCTGTGTTGAGTGACGACGACCAATCACTTTGGGCAACCAGAGGCTCTGAATACCCAAAGATTTGTTTTCCACCTCAAAAAGTTTACTAACGGCAATAGCAGAAGGAAGACAATTCAGAATCTTGAGGTTATCTCTGATTCAGAGTTGTCGAGTCCACAAGTAGCAATTTGCAAAAGATTTCGACGCCGGCAGGATTCGAACCTGCGCCCCCGAAAGGATAAGATTTCGAGTCTTACGTGTTAACCACTCCACCACAGCGCCTTAGATGTTTTTTCACTTCCTGAGCTCATACAGAATGGCAAACACAATATCACTTACATCTTACTAGTGTTTTCGAAGGCTCCCGCGAGAGAAAGCTAATCAATAGAATGATGAATAGAATTTGGAGCACCGAGACGTTGTTTCTTCCTGTCAGAACCTAGAGTGGTGACCAGTGGCAATACAAAGTTCTTTATTCTTTGAGCACCCAAGGAGGTACTGGCCGGTATGTAGTAACTACCTTGATTTTTACGATACTAGGTGGTGAAAAACAAGGCTATTACGTTGATCAGTGCTTGTGTCGAGCAAGTGACTCATCCTGAAAGATTGCTTTCTCGCTGCTCAGAGTACAGGCTGTCAGTTCAATGCTACCATTGCCGACCTGTGAATGGTTATGTTGAAGTACAACTCGTGCTAAGACTGCACTGGTGATGTCGCGCTCTTGTATCGAGGTGATACACGCCAGCGCACACAGAAAACCAAAGCATATGGCTCATTTTGCTCACCTTTTAACAATCCACATATTTTTGTGCACTCTTAAATCAATGTACCTAATCAACATTTCTCAACCTCCATCTTCCATACAGTCGACGTTGACGCACAGGCCAAGTCATGCGAGACACCGACGCTGCAAGCCTTCACCACCAAGAGGTAGACCCGAAGACCTCCCGTCTCATTTGAGACGACCAAGTTGGCCCAGCCTCCATCATTTCCTCCGCTCCATCCGCCTCCACGCAACCACAGCGGCTATGATCTCGTACTTCTCAATAGACTCTCAAGCGCTACCGTCATGAAACCTTTACTCCGGCAATCATCTCAATCAAGGCGCTGTGGTGGAGTGGTTAACACGTAAGACTCGAAATCTTATCCTTTCGGGGGCGCAGGTTCGAATCCTGCCGGCGTCGAAATCTTTTGGTACTTCCACCCATGCGCATGAGATCGCATTGCATTATTTTTTTCCAGTCGATCGCAGTGTTCGATTGGCTGTCAAACAACAGAATCCATGTCAGAGGGGTTGCCAGTCGAGCGCTTGCTGTTGCTCAGATGCGCAATATCGTGGAGATTATATCTTGGAGTTTTCCAGTCATGGAGGACTTGTTGTCGAGACTCCTGAATATCAAATGGGCTCATGCCTCAAGCAGGCTTTCTTTCCCTCCGACTAGATGGGCCGATGGGCGTTGCTTCCGCGTCCCTGATGGGTGTCTTTTGTATCAGCACCGCTAGCGTCGAAACGAAAGCTCCCGTCCCTATGATTTTTTTCCATGTTGAAGACAGCCTGCCGTAGTTCGAACCTTGGGGCTTCGACTACAGACAGGCTCGAGATTTATCAAAATAGGGACGTTGGGTTGTGTCGACCTTGTGCTCATGGCACTGCAAATGCGGCCTCTGCTTTGGAGATCCGCTATTCCTGTTGCCAGCCGGCCCATTGCCATACGTACCCACATTACTCTTGCACGACATGAGTCCGTCTCGTTCACCTTGATTCCGACTTGGCCGCTACGTATGTAAGTGGTTTCAACAGCCAACAGAGCGCAAGATAAAAAATCCAAGTAGAAAAGAAAAAAGACAGTGCTTGAGGCTTGCACTATTCATGTCTGTAGGTAACATGAGGGCATATTTGTCATGAATGGACCATCTGAGGTCTGCATATGCACGGACCAGCCTTAACACGTGATGGTCAATTGGAAGGACAGCTTGGAGCTTCTGTGAGCTTCAACCACGTAACCTGTTGATGATCACAGACCAGAAAGCCACGCCAACCGACAACACCAGAATTCTCCACGAAGAAACTCAAGCTGAGAACCATCAGCTACCATCCAATTGCCATACCTCGACTCATGGACTCTTCGCTCCCCCAAGTTTGGCAGGCTGCCGGCGTCAACGGCGCCTTCCTCCCCGCCATCGGAAAGAACTCCCAGTTCTACGTCGCCTTTGCACTTCTCTTGACGGGGCTCTCTTTGACTGGTGCTTTCGCCCTGAGTATGTCCTGACGGTCTCTACAAAGCTGGAATTTTCCACTGATCATTCCATGTTAGACCGCTCCTTTATCAACATCCCCGCCTTGGGATTCCCGGCCTCAGCTGCCATTGCGTACGTGCTCCCTCTCGTGTACTGCCCCGATGGAACCAATATCCTGACCATATCTCAGCTTCGGAACAGTCTACATGTTCTGCGCAGTTGGAGTTTACGTCTGAGATACCCCAAAGAAACACCCCACTTTCCTAGCCTCTTCTAAGGCACCGACATCGCCTACCTTGTACTCTAGATACCACATTCGCGCGAGTTCTTTTCCGCCCCGAACTTCAATTCCACCACTTGATCCTCCAACCCTATATCCTCCTGCCTGTCATGGCCAATAATCTTGTGGCGCCCGTAGCGGGACAGCCGCTCTTCAGAGCTGTAGCCAGCTCGACCCGACCCCTGTACCAACTGCTTCGATGCATCAACTTCACCAAACAAATACACGTTCTTGTGACCGAAGAGGGCATTCGCTTCTCTGCCGACCTCACCCGAGTCATGCAGGGTAAGTAAAGTCGTCCGTTTGCGGCTCATCGCTTAGTTCTCACGGTGGACCAGGTACCGCCTCTCTTGACAAGAAACTCTTTACGACATATAGCCTGAACATCCCCCAGTCGGATGGCGACTCGCAGCCCGAACTCCCCAGTTTTCAGATCCAATTGCCTGCCCTACTCGAGACGCTGCAGATCTTCGGTGCCGTGGACAGTGCGACCCGAACCCAAAAGGCAGAGCAGGACCCATACCGAAGTAACCTCCGCAACTACCGGCCAGAGGCGTTTAGCAACCAGACTCTCGGCATCGGCGGAACATGTTGTCTGCAGCTGGAGGAAGAAGGTGGCCCTCTGAGTATCATCATTGAAGAGGCGGGCGTCAAAACCGTTGCCAACCTGACGACATATGTACCCGAAATCCCGGAGGACATACCGTTTAACCGTGACGAGCTTGCGTACAAAATCATCATGCAGTCGCGCTACCTCCTCGACGGCTTGGCGGAGCTGTCGCCCAACGGCCCCAAGCGCCTCACCATCACAACGTCCAAGAACCAACCATACTTGACGCTTGCCGGAACCGGCGATCTTGGCTCCTCGGTCGTCGACTTTGCCAAGGGACGCGAGCTGCTCGAAACCTTTGCGGTACAGGAACGCTGGGCCCAGACGTACAAATTTGATCTCATCAAGTCGTCCACAGAGGCCATGCGCATCGCCAGCAAGATCAGCCTGCGGGGTGATCGTCAGGGCGTGCTCAGCCTGCAGTTCATGGTTGAGGTGGAGGGTGGTGGGGTCAGCTTCCTGGACTTTCGCTTCGTCCCGTTTATCTCTCACGAGGATGGCGAAGACGACAGTGGAGACGAACAGGACGACTGATGCAAACGGAAGAACACGACGGCCCTAACAGCGTGAGCCTCTAACAGCACCCACCCTCCCTTTGTAAAGGATGCAATGTCTCAGTCTGATCGGAATCGACGGAATCAAGGCTTGGCCGTGGGAGGGTCAGAAGAATCCATGTTATTGCAAACCCATAGTTCATAGTCAATGGAATGCAAAAGGGTACGGCCAAATCATAATTTCTCGATCGCGTGGTGCGTGCCACATGTTTACTTCTTGGCGGGCTGAAATGGGCTGAATATTGGCCCTTGCTGCTCCCTAGCCGTCCCAGTGTTCTGGCTCTGCCCGTGCGGGTGCCTTTTTGCTTCAGCTCTTCTCCCCTGGCCCTCTCTACCGACGCCTGGCCCGACGCCTCGTCGTCGACTTCGGCAACTCCACGTCCAATGAGTGGTTGCTGACCGATCTATTCGATGCACATCGTCTACCTCAGCCGCAGTTCGACGATTTGGGCCCCCCGGCCAGGGCCTCTTCCTCCGCTAATCGCAGGGCTAGGCAGGGGCTCGAGGGCTCTCATGCCGTCGCCGGGGGGTCTACCGTGCGTCGGGGTGGGGTCTGTCATCGTACCATGTACGTGAGGTCCGTCGACTCGCTCGCTGGCGAAGACAGCCGCACGAAGACTAGCCCGTTTGCAGCACAGAGAGGATGCACTCTCTCAGTAGATCCACGTGGAAAGCGTGATGGCCCGACAACCCCCCCTCCTCCCTCCACACACACAGCGCGTATGTGTTTTTTTCTTATGTACTTGTAGCGTATCAATGGTGTGGGATTTACATGCCAGCTGTTTGCGGAAGGGATGCCAGATTCGCGTGGCTTAGTGACTAGTGAGGGAGGGAGCGGGCAAACATACCTACTAGACAAGGGGGGGGGGGGCACGTCTCCTCTGTTCGACATCAAGGGCGGGTTGGCGAGCTGGTATTATTAGTAGGAAGGCCATGCCGCCGTCTTGTTGGGAGCGGGAGTCTTGTCAATTCCAGTCCTCAGTTTCCTCCTG